TTGTCTCTTCAATTGTAAAATAGGTGACGGCACCACTGGTGCTTCTCCCGCAGATGTTTTAAGACTTCCCTCATCTCTTCAGACGACCACTTGAGTATGAGTATAGTGGAATATTTATGTTTGTAAAGGAGCCAATGAGGTGGAGGATTATAAGCAGCATCTCATTCCATTGCTTAAAATGGTGTCTACGACTGGCGATGGACGGGCTAGATTTGAGATGACTGAAACTGTATAACTATCCCTTCGTCAATGTCCAACTTGCGTGATCAATACAATCCTGATGGTTTCATTTGATTCTGGTAAGCCAAGACCATACCATGAAGAGTGACAACCTCCACGGCTGGGCGGATTGGGCCATGGGCCGAGGCCACGAACCGCCATGGTACTAGCAGCATGTTGTACCTCTAGTGCACATTTTGATACTGGACCGGAGGCCAGGCTCAGGGTCATTCTAGTCCTGGTAAGAATAGCTCGTCCAACCAGCACAGGCGATGGTTCATGAGCTACAGGGCTGTCTCGGCCCATTTAATCCGCCCGGATTCTTGACGAGAGACAAGTATAATCGATAGATGGCGCAGGACAGGCATTCAACTCTCAGCCACCACCTTCTCGAAGTTTCGCCAGTGCCGCCGTGATGCCCTCGCTCATTTCCTCGGGTTGCTGTGTTTCCTTCTCAGCACCAGTAGCCTTGGCGGCTTCTTCTGCTGCTGCGGTTTTGCGACTCTCCTCCAAGACTGCACGGAGCATTTCTTCATCCTCATCGTGCACATCCCCTCCCCGGGATTCATCCACAAGCCGAGAGGGTCGAGTGGCTACCCTTGTCTTTGGTGCCGTCGATCTCTTCGCCGTCTCCGTTCGGAAGTCTTCTCTCACTGCACTACACCATTGCTGGACCTTCTTTTCTCCCCATCCCGGCACAGCACTGATCTGCTCGGGCTGCGCATTGATGGCATTCTGCAAACTGCCAAAGGTAGAGATCAAACTCGCCGCGTCGGATTTGTTGATACTTCTCGGCGTAGTGACAAATTCCACGAGAGACTCTTTGTAAGACTGTGCTTGCTGGGTGCGGATAGCAGTCGGCTGTGCATTTTCCGAGGACTTGAATAGCTCCAGATAGTGCGCGGCTTCAGGGGCCGACCAGCAAAGCATCAGCGTGAGATTGTTGATAATTGATGTCTTCGACAATTCCTTGAGGCTATCTTCGTGGTTGGGAATGTCGACCATAATCAGCAGCAGACGGAGCTTGTACTTCCCAGCCAGCAGCCGAACCCGGGAGTATACATATTCAGGGTGCAGACGGTGGTACTTCAGGGAGAGGAACAGGGCGCAGGTCGTGGCACCGACCACATAGTCGGCAGGGATATCGGCATATTCCCAGGGCAGGAGCTTGATGTGGCTCAGGATTGGGTTGCCTTTCTGGCGCGTGGAGACGAGAATCGAGGCGGGACCGGATCGGTTGGCGAGGACTTGGGGTTTGGGTTGCTGGACTTTGGGTGGGTGTGGATTTGGAGTCGAAGGATTTGAGCCAGAGGAAGCAACGGCGTCCTTGTCTGCATCACCTTCCATGGTGATTTGCACTCTCTCAGACGGCCCAGCGCAGAATAGTCAGACGCGCTTGAGCTACGTAATCTGCCCTACTTATCGTCGGGCTGTTCACCGCCCTGTCGGGCTTCTCACTTTTCTGCCGTGAATTTTTCTGCTCGCAACAAAAAACCCATGCCAACCAGAATGGGCGAACCCAGCAAGAAAAGACGTCTTTCGGGCGATGCAGACACAGAACCAAAAATGGAAGTCGACACAAATGATATCGCCGACGCCAAAACCTCGCAGAAGGCCAAGCGCACTCTCTTCGTTCGATCGCTTCCTGCCTCAGCGACCACGGAGAGTCTAATCGAGCATTTCTCCCAATCTTACGTGATCAAGCATGCGATCGTCGTCAGTGATCGTGAGACCAAGCAGTCCAAAGGTTATGGTTTCGTCACATTCGCTGACCTCGAGGATGCGCAAAGCGCTCTGGAGGAACTGAACGGGTCCGAGTTTGACGGGAAGAAAATTCGAGTTGATTACGCCGAGTCCCGCCACCGTGAGATTGATGAGAAGATTGGAAAGAGTGTCCCGACTGCTGCGGCGCTCAAGTCCAAGCAGGAGAGGGAGGAGCAGAGGGGACAGGGCCCGCCGCCCAAGCTGATTGTGCGCAATCTGCCGTGGAGTATTAAGGAACCCGATGACCTGGCTGTGCTCTTTCGGAGCTTTGGGAAGGTCAAGCATGCGACGCTTCCTAAGAAAGGGAATAAGCTGGCCGGCTTTGGCTTCATTGTTCTGAGAGGCAAGAAGAACGCCGAGAAGGCGCTCCAGGCTGTCAATGGCAAAGAGGTGGATGGACGCGCACTGGCTGTGGATTGGGCGGTCGAAAAGGAAGTGTGGGAGAAGACGAAGGAGGGTGATGAGGAGGAAGAAGACGAAGAGGAAGAGAAGGGCGACGCAGACGTGGACATGGAGGACGCAGACGACGCTGCCTCCGATGATGTCTCTGAGGATGACGACGAAGAGGAAGATGATGACGAAGACCTAGACGATTTGGAGGATTTGGAAGATGAGGAAGACGAGGAAGATGTGGAAGATGACCGAAATGCTTCGACCATCTTCCTGCGCAATCTACCCTTCACTGCCACCGACGATTCCCTCTACGAACATTTTGCTCAATTCGGCCCGCTACGATATGCGCGAGTTGTCCTCGACTACGAAACCGAACGACCCCGAGGCACAGGATTTGTCTGTTTCTGGAAATCCGAGGACGCCACAGCCTGCATTCGCGAAGCCCCTAGGAACACCGACACGATGGCCGCGAATAAGGACAAGCCCAACCAAGCCTTCAAGCATTCCGTTCTCCAAAACGAGAATTCCGACCCCAGCGGACGGTACACCATGGACGGCCGGGTTCTCCAGGTTGCTCGCGCCGTGAGCAAGACCGAAGCCGGGAAGCTCGAAGAGGAAGGAGTCTCACGCCGCCTGGTGCGAGACAAGGACAAGCGCCGGCTCTACCTCCTGTCCGAAGGAACGATCCCGTCCGACTCGCCGCTCTACAAGAAGCTCTCACCGTCCGAGGTCAAAATGCGCGAAGAGAGCTTCAAGCAGCGTCAAAACTTCATCAAGAAGAACCCAGCCCTCCACATCAGCTTGACTCGTCTTGCCATCCGCAACATCCCACGCCATGTCACGTCGAAGGACTTGAAACAACTTGCACGGCAAGCCGTCGTCGGATTCGCCACAGATGTCAAGAAGGGTGTCCGCCAGTCTCTTTCCAAGGAGGAACAGCAACGCTCGCGGGATACGATGAAGGAGCTGGAGACTATTCGGAAACAGAAGAAAGCCGGTATCGTGCGCCAGGCCAAGGTTGTCTTTGAGACCCGCGATGGGTCCAAGGTTACGGAGAAGAGCGGCGGGGGGCGGAGTCGTGGCTACGGATTCATCGAGTACTACACGCACCGTCACGCACTGATGGGTCTGCGCTGGCTGAACGGCCATATGGTCGAGGCTCCCGCGCAACCCGCGAAGTCCGAAAAGCCCGGCAAGTCGGGCAAGGCTGCTCAGCCCGCGCCAGTCGAGGAGTTTAAAGAGGACAAGAAAAAGCGGCTGATTGTGGAATTTGCCATTGAGAACGCCCAGGTCGTCAAGCGTCGTAACGAGCGCGAACTGCAGCAAAAGGCTCGTGCCGACGGCAAGGGAGACCCCAAGCAGAAGTCCAAGGATGCCGACAGCAACAACAAGAACCAATCCGACAATGCCGAAAGCAAGAAGAGAAAGAGGAGCAAGGACGACGAGGGTAAAGACGGGCATGACCCGGAGGAGGAGAACAAGCTTGCCAAGCGCAATCGGATCATTGCGAAGAAGCGCATGCAGCGCAAGTCGCGCAAGGGGAAGGCCTGAAGAAGGAGGGAAATAAAACCTGTATAGATCATTTGTTCGTAATACCACTATGTGTGTCAAAATGTGATTGTTTCAAGAAACCGATGATAGATACAGGTTCCCCAAACGGCGGGTATAGATACTTGAGGAGTTGATAGATAAGTAACAAGGAAGAATCAGGTATTCTTCGCGCCCTCGACCTTGCCCACGATATTATACCGCTTGCTGAAAAATGTAAACCACTCATCCAGCACGGTCTTCTCCTTCTCCTCGAGATCATACCACTCGGGCACGCAGTCCTCCGGCTTGAGCGACGAGCTCGCCAGTGCGCGCGAGGGGTCCTTACCCGCGAAGACTGGAACAAACAACATACAATAATCAGCACTTAAGCTTTCTCAGCTACACATTACCTGATGTCAAGCAACATACCGCGATATTGCCCCTCGGGCCCATACGCCGCGTTCCGGCTCACATCAAAGACAACGCCCTTGATAGCGACGTATGTCGGACGGTTCGGATCCGTGCCTAGTTACCCCCAATTCATTAGCTCATGGCCGAAGGACGAAGAAGGAAGTAGGTGTGCGGCTAGGTACCGTCGCATTTGGCCAGCTCCTCTTGCGAGATGGGGTCGTCTTTCGGCGGGTCCAGCTGGACGGGGATTTTGGGAGAGAAGCGCTTGGGCTCGGGCTCGTGTTCGACCATTTTGAGGGAGGAATGGGGAGGTAATTGGGTCTTCGGGTGGTTAAGGTGGTTGGTTGGTTAGTCGTGGGGGAAGGAAGGTGGGGGGGTTCGGCCTTGATTACGTTTGCTAGGCAGTGACTGGCCGAGGTAGATGTAGATACAATTATTCCGTTCAAGAATATACATGGATACCTATCGTGGAGCAGTTACCGAGGGAGTTAATTACTATGGTAGCGTTGATGTTGCTCTCTATCAACTGATATAATTATTATCATCCTCCGTTGTTCATCTTTGAAGTATCTAGGGAGATGATGACGTCAAGCAGCAGGCAGTACATAACCAGTCAGATGACCATCTCTCCATCACATCTACATCGACTACATTGCACTCGTAACAACTCTTTTCCAACAATCATGTCATTCTCCGATCCACGAACAGACTCCAGTTTGGCCCCCGAAACGGTCCCAGACCAAAAGCGGGATTCCACCCAGGCAGAGATCAAGCACCATCTCTACTTCGAAGACAACGACTCCTTCTTCCCACCCACCTGGCTCGGGAAAGACCCGCCCCCTCGAAGGGAGTCAGAGAGCAGTGTGAGCCATGAATCAGAACAGAAGCATGACGAAGGCAGTGGGAAAGTTGAGCGCGGATGGACCAGCGAGGAATGATGCCTAATCGCGGGCGTGAGTCGGGTGCATTTGCCCCATTCCATTCATTCCTAGCCAACATTCTACTTTATCTCTCCCTCCCCTTGTAAGAGCCTGGACGCGACGTTCTAATTCCCTCACTCTGGGTTGAATACGAGGGATTTCTTGTTTTCATTCTCTCTGTTCTGGTGGAATACCAATGGATACCGTCCCGTGGAGGTATTCGACACGCCTAAAGGGCCTCCCTGTGGGTACACCGGCTTCCCCAGGCCGCTCTGATTTGTCCCCCAGCGATCTCCGGCCCGGCTTGTCCTCTTGTGCCTCGGCGGAAGCCGAATCCTCGGCGTACGGAGTACGAGATAATGAAATTAGTCCTACGCGCTCAGTATGCCAAGCAATGCGGCCTAGCGAAACTGCAGGCAAACCTGGCCGGGAGAGACAGAAAATTCTCACTACTATTCCCTCCTTCCATCCTACTTTCTTTTATATCTTTCTGTGCCCTTTTCCTTTTCTTTGATGGTTGGTTTGTTGTTTGATCGGTCATGTCAAATCCACTTCCTTCGGAGCCCGTCTCCCATATGCCGATGACGGCGGCTATCATGCGCACCGAGTCCACACTCCAGCCCGATCCCGAGGCAAAGCCGACAAAAGTTGTTGGAAAGGAGCTTGAGCTCGCGGAGAAAGATTTCTCATCGGATCACCGGGATGTGTCGATCGATGGCGGATCTATGAATCCTACCGACGACCATACCCACCGCAAGCTTAAGCCTCGCCATCTCCAATTGATCGGTATTGGAGGGACGATTGGGACGGTCCTGTACGTTCAGATCGGGTCCGGTCTGCGAACTAGCGGTCCAGCGAGTTTGTTCTTGGGGTTTTCTATTTGGTTAGTGGTCTTTTTTTTCATATTTTCTTCTTGACTTGAGTTGGCTCGACACTTTGCCTATATATACGACCTTGCATGGATGGTAAGTACCTGCAAACTATATCGACAGATATCGACAGACAAAAGAACAAATTACTGCATTCAACATCTTTGAAGACAAGGGACGTAGAAGACTACCGCTAGGTCACCACTATCAAGCCGCTCACCAGCAGCAGCCAACAACCCCCAGCGTCTTTGGCGACAAATTCATCCCATCTCACCGGGCATCCATGCATCCAATTCTTTGGCCTGCCTATATACCTGCCCCCTCTGTATCTGTCCCGCTTATGGTCTTGGCTGGTTTCTTATACTGTGATTTTCTAGGAGCGCCGTGATCCTGATCATCACCGTCTGTACGAACTACCTCATGATCAACCCATGAACCCTACATCTCTACCTCTGCATCCCAAGCAACCTCCCTTCACATATTCCAAAAGCGCCAACCCTTCAGTCTCTTCCACCGCACTACCTCTTTTTCTTCCCCCATTGCACCCATTTCCTGTGCTGTGTCTAATGCTAATTGCATAACATAACTAGGTCTCGCAGAAATGGTCACCTATCTCCCCATCTCCTCGCCATTCATCCGCTTCGCAGGCCGCTACGTCGACGAAGCTCTAGGCGTGGCAGCCGGGTACAACTTCTTCATCTTCGAAGCCACTCTAGTCCCCTTTGAAGTCGTCGCCGTCAGCCTGATTCTCAAGTACTGGACCAGCGCCATCCCAGTCGCTGCGATGAATGTCATCGTGCTAGTTCTCTACTCGTATGTCATGTCACTACCCTGCATACAGAAATGCCTTATAGAATAAAACTGACATATAGCAAATGAAAAAGCCTACTAAACGCGTTCGCCGTAAAATGGTACGGCGAAGCCGAATTCTGGCTCGCCCTCGGCAAAGTCCTGCTCAGTACGGGGCTGATCTTCTACACGTTCATCGTGATGGTGGGCGGGAATCCTCTCGGCGACCGCTTCGGGTTCCGGTACTGGAACGAGCCCGGCGCTTTTGCGGAGTACTACAAACCCGACAGTCTGGGCAAGTTCCTGGGCTTTTTGTCTGCGCTTATCACGGCCAGTTTCACCATCGCCGGACCGGACTATATCTCCATGGCAGCTGGCGAAACAGTGAACCCGCGCGGCGTGCTGCCGAAGGCATATAATGGTGTTTTCTATCGACTCACGACATTCTTTGTGCTTGGAGTTCTGTGCGTGGGTATCTTGGTCCCTTATAATGATGAAACGATGGCTGCTGCTTTTGACAACGACAAGCCTGGTGCTGCTGCGTCGCCGTATGTCATTTCCATGGATCGCTTGGGCATTCCTATCCTGCCGCATATTGTCAACGCGGTTATTCTCACGGCGTCGTTCAGCGCGGGCAATAGTTATGTTTATTGTGCAAGTCGCAGTTTATATGGACTGGCGCTGGAGCGCAAGGCACCTCAGTTCCTGACCAAGTGCACTAGTAGCGGCGTGCCGATTTACTGCGTTGGCGTTGTGCTACTGATCGCCCTGCTCAGTTTTCTGCAGGTCTCCAATGACGCCGCGGTTGTGCTGAACTGGTTCGTCAATCTGGTATGTTCTCCTTTTCCACTTCTTTAAATATTTCCAAAAAAGAATACTAATCTTTGTTCTAGGTGACCGCCTCCCAACTAATCAACTTCTCCGTAATAACGTTCACCTACATCCGCTTCAAAAAAGCCCTCGACGCGCAGGGCATCTCACGCGACACACTCCCCTACCGCAGCTGGTTCCAACCATACATTGCATGGATAGCCTTCTGCTGCACGACAGTCATGGCTTTTGTCGGCGGATACCCCGTCTTCCTGCCGGGCAACTGGTCCATTCCGACGTTCCTCTTTTCCTATACGATGATTGGCGTTTTTCCCGTTCTGTATTTCGGGTGGAAGGTCTTTCACAACACGAAGTTCCTTCAGCCTGAGGAGGTGGATGTTGTTTCGGGCGTCGAGGCTATTGAGGAGTATACGAGGAATTTTGAGCCGGTGCCTCCAAGGTAAGTAACTTTCGGTGGGTAACTTTGTTTTGTGGGATTTGGCTGACTGTCGGTTGATAGGAACGTGGCTCATAAGTTTTTCAATAAGCTTTTTGAATAGATAGACGATAGGTATTGTCGACGAATATATCTTTTGTTTATCGGCTGCTGGGGTAGCACTGCCTCCCTAGTGAGGGTGGCCTTATATCCAAATCCCAAAGTGATACCCATTATGGCCTCCAACCGACCTTATTATTACAAATGATTGACTTCACAGCGTATCTCATTAATATCTAACTAAGTATACAAAATCCCTAAAGCCAATCATATCCGACATGCACCCACCACCCCGTGTAGTCTCTAGTTATCCATTACTTCCCACCCTGTTCAGCAGCTTTCACGGCCTCAAGCCGCTGCTTATTCCTCTTCCCCAAAATCCGCATCGTATTCTTCTTCTCAATCTCCGTCATATGCTCCCAATTGCTAATGCGCGAGAGCGTCCCATCCGTGTTCACAACCATCGGACCTAGGTGGTCAAGCGTGACGGTGGAGCCAGCGTCGTCATTTAGGCTGAGGCGGTGTTGTTGTCCTTCCCCATTCCCTTTTTCATTATTCTCGTTGCCGGAGCTGGCTGGGAGGTAGAGGTGTTCGCCTGTACTATCCGCTTGCGCTTGTTCCTGTGTTTGTTCCTCCGGCTTTGTCTCTCTTGATGGATTGTTCGTATTCGAGGCTGAGTCTGGAATGGCCATTGTATGTGCTTCGCGAATGAGATCTGGTTGTTTGAAGTTGAAGGTCGGGCTGCACTGTGGGAAGAGGAGGGAGTGCAGCTGCGCGGACGGTGTGAGGTGTCGCAAAGCTGGAGAGTTGGCGCTGGGACAACTGGCGAGTGAGGCCCGGGCGAGGAGTGGGTTGAGGAAGAGGAGCGAGGCGCGGTATGCAGTGCGCGAGACTTGCATTTGGACTGGTGGTGGAGGTGTGTCAAGGGGAAGTTCTTTTCTCTTTGGGCTGGGGGTGGATCATTGATCGTTGGTTCTAGAACGGGAGATTCCCCGATTCTCTCTTTCTGCCACGCTAATCCCTATCTGTCATATACTGTTAGTTACTCTTCAACGATTGCCTATTTACTACAAGATGGCTGTTATATTGTGGTACCTTTAATCCAAAATTGAGAGCAGAACGCTATGATCTCTTAGACTGTTCCAAGAAAGACGTGATCCCATAGCCGTATTCCTCGCACTAAGCTCGTATTATGGTGCGTCCCTTAACACAGCCCCCACCATTATACTTACGATGTTGACGATGTAGCAAGATCTTCCAGATATAAGCCGTCTATCGAGTAGTACCAAGACCCTACAGGGGCATAAGCAAAGGCCAGCCGATCAAAACACTTCTACACATGCTACAAAACAGCTAGATATACAACAACTTACGAAGAGCGTGGTATAACTTTATAATTCTTCTTAGCTATCCCTGGTCGAAAGGCAAACGTAACAATACAGGTACATAAATGCAATTATAAGTACAGATAAATTGTTTCTTATATAATTTGGAATCTAATAATCTCTACATTTGGTATACAAGTCAATCATTATTGTTTTCATCATCGAAACCACCAGTTCACCTGGAACAAGTCAGTAAACTCCAGACAACCAAAGAAATCACCACACTCACCGAAGCAGTAACACCCCCGCCAATGCCTTTGATACTATGCCACCACCCCTTGGGAATAAACAGGCCATCACCCGCACCCAGCAGCGCTTCATACCCCTTCTCTGCAGGGGTGTCCCAAACCATTTGATCCAGCAACGCCCGCTCTCTCCCCTGCATCATCTCCTCTCCCCGGAACGCCGCCGCTTCCCGATTCCCACTCTTCCCCAATTCCCGTCTGGCACTCCCAAACAGAGCCTGTCCTTCCACAGGAGGGAGCAGCCTCACAACCTTCTGTCCCGCCAGCTGGACAAAGAGGTTCGGATTCGGATCGCGGTGGAGCGGGGTGTATGTAGGCGGGTATCCAATCCACAGGTTTGTATCGTACACATCACCCCTGCCAGCCTGCGCGACGATGTCGGGCGTGGGCAGATCCTGGCACAGGGTCTGAGGGAGATCGAGGAGCTGGCATTGGGCGAGATACAGACGCGTGGATTGCGGAGATGCCTCGACAAGATGGATCCAGTCTAGGAAGAGGGAGAGAGGCGCGTGGAAGTGTCGGAAGCTCAGCTCGTCGGTTGTCTCGGTGGGCTGCTCGGTAAGCTCGAGCGGCACAACCGCGTCGGCGCCATGGGTGCGCAGGTATTCTGTGTTTAGCCGAGATGGACGTTGGTCGCTTGGATCAAACCAGCGCGTCGCCGCGGGGAGGGATCGGAAGTGCGAGCGTGGGAGGATGGCGGGTCGCTCGGGGGTGAAGCTGGTTTGGCGGAAGGTGTTGACGCTGCCATCGTGGAGGATCTCGAGGGGGCGGTATGGTCGGGGCGTGGAGATGGAGAAACGACGATAACATGAGTTATGGGAGAGTCGAGGGTTGCCTCGACAGAATCGAAGAATGGGCCATTGTTGGGGGTTCATCAGAGAGGTGTTGAAAGATGAAGCAGCAGCAGCAACCGGAGTGGATCCCGGCTAATCCCCGGCTTCGTCATTCATGACATGTACGATTCCTTATGGCCGTTTGTAGCTATTTTTGTTTCCATTATTTTTTGGAATATCGAACTTGATATGATTTTGTCCGGTCTTATTTAATAATAATATTTTTCACGAGACGATACACCCTCCGAACTTGCCTGGCCCAACCGAGGTTTTCCCTCACGCGCTGTGGAACTATATGTGCATACCTGCGCTTCTCGGTGCTCAGATCTGATCGTTAGCATTATTCAGGCGCACCGGCTAGCTTCGTTTTCAAAGCCTTGTCGGAATGACCGTGTTTGTAGAATTGTCCGCTAAGATCAGAATATGTTCTAGGCATAGTCGCATGTCGATCCCGTTAGGTGAACGACACCGCGGCTGCAGTGGGTCTGCGCGTACTCCAAATGGGAGGGGGCCACGGCCCGACCGAGGTAACCGTTCGTTCATATAGAAAGGGAGATTGATCCACCCCGTCAGATTTAGAATTCCGACAACTTCAAATCCATCCAAGATGCCTTCATCCCTTGCGTCCATCCACAAGCGCAATGCGTACGGCAAAGACGCCCACACCTACTACCCCGTGCTCATTGTCGGCGCGGGCGAGTCTGGGGTAGCTATGGGCTGCCGCTTAAAAGAAGCGCTAGGCACCGATCAATTTCGCATTTTCGATCGCCAGTCCGGGATTGGGGGTACGTGGTGGATTAACCGCTATCCCGGTGCGGCGTGCGATATGTATGCCCGTCTCTCCAAACTAACTGCAAGGCTGTATTTTGACAATCTGGCAGCCCGGCGATTTTCTACTCGTTTTCGTTCTGCCCCAAGAAGAACTGGACCACGCTGCATCCGTCAGGCCCGGAAATTGCTCAATATCTGGCCGAGGTCTGCGAGAAGTACCAAATTGTGGACAAGATCCAGTTCAACACCGACGTCAAGCTGATCAGATGGATTGAAGCGGACGAGGAATGGGAGGTCACTCTGTCGCACTTGGTTCCTGGCACTGGTGATTTGGCATCGCACGAGCGCGAAGCCCGAGTGGCCAGTGATGGCCCCCAGAGCGTCTATGTCAAAGACGAGATCGTGCGAGCGAAGGTCGTGGTCAGCGGCGTTGGCGGCTTGGTAGAGCCTAACCAATGGCCACAGGATATTCCTGGGTTTGAAGGCTTTAAAGGCGAAGTCATGCATACGGCTCGATGGAATGATAGCATCGATCTGAAGAACAAGGATGTTATCATGCTTGGCTCCGGCTGCAGTGCGGCCCAAGTCGTCCCTGAGATAGTAGAAGATGTCCGTTCTGTCACCCAAATCATGCGCACGCCTCCCTGGGTGCAGCCAGACCTCCTCACTCCCGAGGAGCTGGCTAGATATGAGGAAGTTATGCCCAAGCTGATGACCTACATCCCGGGACTGTCCCTATTTGTGCGGTACCAGATGTTCTGGAGGTGCGAGATGAATTTCCTCGATGTATTCACCGAAACCTCTCGCAGTCGTCAAGTACGGCGGCCGCGGCTTGAAAAGAAGTTCCTGGATCATATGCGCCGCGTTGCACCGAAGGAATACCACGAGATCCTGACGCCCAACTACAGCTTCGGCTGTAAGCGGCGCATTGTCGGCGGCGCATGGTATCGCAGCCTAAATGCTCCGAATGTCGAGCTAACGACCCAGCCGCTGACTCGCGTGCACGCGAAGAGCGTCACGATCGGTCCGGGCCGTCTCTACCCGCCCAGTACCACGACCAGCTCCACAGACGAAGTCCGCGAGATCCCCGCCGATGTGATCATCCTGGCGAATGGCTTCTCTACGAATGTATGGCTGCACCCGTTGCGGGTGATCGGCCGAGGAAACAAAGACCTCCGAGATCTCTGGGACGAGCGTGGAGGCGCCCAGGCATACCAGGGTATTGTCATGGATCACTGTCCGAACTTCTTCATGCTCTTTGGTCCGAACACGGCGACGGGCCATACGAGTGTGATTTTTGCAACAGAGAACGCGGTCAATTACTCGCTGCAATTCATCAAGCCTATCTTGAATGGCGAGGTGAGCTCGTATGAGATTAAGGAGGGGGCCGAGCGCGCTTGGACAGAGAAGCTGCAGGCTCAGATGCAGAAGACCGTGTTTCGGAAGGGGAATTGCTCGAGTTGGTATATTACCGCTGACGGCTGGAACTCAAGCACATATCCGTATGTTGCCCTTGCCCCTTTATCTCACCTCAAACTCCATCTGACAACTTTTCCAGATATTCTCAAATCCACCACTGGTGGCGCTGCAAATTCCCCTACTGGCGTGATTGGAACGCAAAACTCACAAAGAAGGGAAAGACGCTGCAGTCAATCCGGCGTGCAGTCCGAGCTTTCGCTCTCGTTGCCTTGTTTGCGGGACATATGTGGCTTCGACAGAATCCACAGAGGCGGACCCAATTGGTGCAGGCGATGTTGGCCAGCAAGAAGTGGATATTGTCGACGGTGCAGAAGTTTCTGGGAGCTCGTTGATTCTGTTATGTAGTAGATAGTATAATTGTATTCAACTCTATTCTGGATGACCTTAAGCAGGACCATCAAGCACCATCCTAATGTCTGACAGAGAGCCATGGCTCAGATATAGATTGAATAGATGCCTAATATGAAAGACAGACAAGCGACTAATAGTAGCATTTTCGACCATTTGCTCCTTCGTACTACTTATATATCCTCTGGTCTGTTCAGCATCCTATGAATCTTTGAGATCAGGTATCCAAAATGGTTATAATCATCTTGCATTATTCGTCTGTGTACTGGAGGACTTCTCACAGCCCTAAAAGATAGAGAATCAGCCAACCGGGCCCAGGCAATGGGCTGAGTCAGCCGAACCTGGGGAAACGGGAAACCCCGCGAGAGCAGGGAATTTCTCCGCACTCCTCTTCCCCCGTTGCCTGCACCCAGTACCCTCATACACCTGCGCATCCAGCACGGCATGGCTTCAGAGTCGCCGCAAATTGACCAGACCCCGCCACAGACTGGTTCTGGCGACCATATCACCACACCAAGCGCGGACGTGGCCAAGAGAAAGGCGGAACAGACCAACGGAACGGGCCACACGCGCGCAAAGCGGAATCGCTACATTTCCATCGCATGGTACGATATGGCTTGATCTGACTCTCCATACATCCCCTGTCCACTGCCGACGTGCGTGGGGCTAGGTCCCCGTTTTATTTGCAAGCGCCCTCATTTCGCGGGCTTCCTTTCACTGTTACTCTCTTGTGCGGAATGAATTCGGGCTAACCTGGCGCTCGGCTATTGGTTTAGCAACGAATGCAAGCGCCGCAAAATTAAGTGCAATGGCCAGGTACCTTGCCAACGGTGCGGGCATCTGAATCTCGAATGTATGCGCTATATTAATCTCCCTCATATTCTTGCCTATCTGACTCTCTTCGCTCCAGGCCGGTATGCGCCGAACTGCTGCAACAATAATTTCAAGGACTCGGAGTAAGTCTATAGTTTCCGCGCTCTTCGCATCGCTTAATGTTTTTGTTAGGGAATTCCGCTCCATGACAGATCAGATCACCACGCTACAGGACCAGGTCAACAGCCTTTTCTCCAGTCTCAATGACCTTCGCACGCACAGGCCCTCATTTGAGTCCCCGCCCTTTGACCAGTTCGCCCGCGATGGCTCACAGTCTGTCTTCACGCCACTGCACACCGGCCTGCCGAAGTCTAGGTCACGCCACCCGCGCTTCCATGGTCCAACGAGCTCGGCTTTCAACTTCGACGTCGCTAAATCCAGCCTGCAGAATATGGGAATTACCCCGGCAGAGGAAGTTCTGCCGGACGACTTGACTACTGCGCATGTCACGCCTTCCGGCTCGCCACCACCCCAACTGGGGACTCTTGTCCCTACTATGCATCCGTCCAAGGATCCAATCTGGAGTATTCGACGAGATGAAGCTATGCGGTTATGCAAGGTCTATGAGGAGGAGATCGGGATCATGTATCCCGTGGTGGATATCAACCATGTCACCCATCAGGCTAACCTGTTGTATACATTTATGGAAGCCGCCACACGCACAGGATTCGCGCAACAGGGTCTCCCGGGATCCGATGCCCTCCATGACGACAGCACAGTTCTTTTGAAATTGATCCTAGCTACCACGCTCGTCGTGGAAGCCGGTGGACAAAGTGAGCTTGGCACGCGACTGTACCTCAGCGTCAAACCGGTCATTGAGTCGAAGCTATGGGAGCCGCATGATATCAAAAACATCCAGCTGTTCTCAATAGTAGTATGTGAAATGATCTTGGTTGTGATCAATTCTACGATCTCACTAACAGTACCCCAGGCGACCTACCACTTCCACACTGATGATGATGCGATGGCCTACCGAGTCATTGGTCTCGCTGCGCGCATGTGTCTGGAGATGGGATTGCACCGTAGAGATGCTTTGTTGAAATCATTCCCGAACGAAGACCAGTGGACGGGTGTGAGCCGGATCTTCTGGTCGATTTACAGCTTAGACAGGCGGTGGAGTCTGGGGACAGGACTACCGTTCGTCATCCAGGATGAGGATATCGACCCCAATTTGCCGGAGCCGGTAAGAGCTGTCCCATTAACCTTACGAGCTCTGATTGACTCTCTGAGCAGGACAATTCGCTCCCGTATCTGCGATGCATGATCTCGTACAATCGGATCAGCTCCAAGATATGGTATTCTGGGCTGGGCTCCGAAGGAACGACGGACATCCGCCGCGACGAGATTGGTTACCTGGATTACCAAGTGTTGCAATGGTACAAGCAAGTGCCAGATGATCTCAAGTTCTATCCTGCGGAATCGCCCAAGAACAACGATTCAGTCAGCCGAGGGATGAGGCGCCTGCGCGTGCTTCTGTACTTACGCATGAACCAGCTGCGGATTCTCATTTATCGCCCTGTGATGCATTCCGCGGCTAGCATCGCAGAAGATCGAGGCCACGCACAGACGGTGGTGGACGTTGCCAAGGACACAGTTCGAGTTCTGACTCGCCTGAACCAAATGTCGGACATCTACCGGACGCAGCAAATTACCTTCAACTATTTCCTGGTTGCGGCATTGGCGGTGCTTTTCCTTGCCGTGTGCCACGCGCCATCCGACTTCAACCGGCAGGTTCGCGATGAGTTCTACATGGCGCTGGACCTGGTCAATGGCTTCAGTACCAAGTCATACGTTTCCAAACGGCTTTGGAAGACTATCAAGGGGTTACGCAAGATTGGAGAGAAACTAGGCGTTCTGGCTCGTCCCTTTGGTGGTGACGCCAATGACCCTCATTCAACCGCGGCAGTGGCCATGGCTGGTCTGGCAGGTCACTCGATCGAGGATCTGTCCGTGTACGGTCCTATGAATGGAGTCAACGAGCTCGGCAACAGCCCACTGAATGGTCTGCAGATGAGTCACGAACTGACGAATCTCTTCGAGGCCGTCGGTGCATTTGGCAACTTCATGCCGCCGACCACTGGACCGGATGGGATCCATGGCTTTGTCGGGGCCGATGGGGAAATTCAAAACACAGGAGAAGGATTGTCGGGAGTTTTAGGTGACGAGGGCGAGTTTGCTCGGGTGATCCGAGACCTGTTTTGAATATTTCCTGCCTGTTTGTACATACAACGTATAGTTCTTCGGTGTAGATCACATGCACGTGACTGAGCGCCACTCGTTCGTCGCTCAGCTTGCGCTTTCTTTCCAGGAACAACGTCCCCCTACAAGTCCACCCCAGACGACGGAAGCCATCTCCAATTAAATCACTTGATGTGAAGAAGAGACATTTTGGAATCTCTTCTTGCCCGCCTCCCCCCGATCTAATCCCGCTTGGGGGCAACTCCCACTTGATCCGATCGACACCCCGCGATACCGGCTCATGTTATCGACCGAGGACCGCAGCCAGTGACATTGAATCCTATCGACATTCCAGTGCGTCCCTTATCTTCTGATTCTCCATCCTGTCGATACTGATAAACGGTGGGGTCAGTCTTCGATACCCCGGTCGCGAGCTTTTTTTCGCATCGCACAACCTCCGCTCCTGCCACACCGTGGTGCCATGCCTAGCCAGTCTCTATCCTGATTTTTGACCACACTACCTCCCGAACACCATACCTTTCTTTCCGACCTCGAATCATCGTCCAAGGGGCCACCGCTCTACCACGCAGCAATACCCGACCCCTCCTCTCCCGTGTGACGAGGTCACTTCGTCGTGGCCAATTTTCCCGGAGATTTCCACCCACAATCTCGGCAACGTGTCGAGAGAGACAGGTTCGGCGTTGGCCGACGGCCTTGATAGGCTAGATTTGAGCCAACTGTCTGAATCAACGCTCTCGTCATCCGTATCGGCTTCTTTCGACATGTCGTCGTCGGAAGGCGCGCCGGAGTCGTGGATCTCCTCGTTCTGCTCGTTGATGGGTCACGAGTTCTTCGCGGAAGTGTCGGAGGACTTCATTGAAGATGACTTCAACCTCACGGGCCTGCAGTCCCAGGTGCCTATGTACAAGGAGGCCCTGGAGATGATCCTGGACGTCGAGCCGGAGGAGGACGAGGAGGAAGAAGAGGAGGAAGAAGAGGAGGACGATGATGATGAGGTGCTGGGCGATGATAATCCGCCTGGGTACCGCAGGGCTGGCGACCGGCGGCACGCCCGCGTGGCGAGCGATCTGAGTGTCATCGAGAGCTCTGCCGAGCTGCTGTATGGTCTCATCCATCAACGGTACATCACATCGCGGCCGGGGATTCAGCAAATGCTGGAGAAATACGAGATGCAGCATTTTGGTGTCTGCCCGCGCACCAACTGCAATGGATGCAAGGTTCTCCCCGTGGGCCGGTCCGACACTCCGGGCCAGGAAACCGTTAAGCTTTTCTGTCCCGGCTGCCACGATCTCTATACGCCTCCCAACAGCCGCTTCCACTCAGTCGACGGAGCCTTCTTCGGCACGACTTTTGGATGCCTGTTCTTCATGACCTTCCCGGACCTTGATATCGGCCCACGCCTCGACACGTCATTGTCTGTAGTGTCGCCAGCACAACCTGTCAGCCAATCCCGATCTTCGTCTGTCGCCCGCACCATCGCCGCCATCCGGGACTCGCCCGAGCCAGTAGACCAACCACTGGAGATCAACGGCATGCGCACAGCAAACTTCGCCCCAGGTCTCGGGCGAGGAAAGCTCTACGAGCCGCGCATCTACGGCTTCCGCGTCTCGGAGTTCTCGCGTTCTGGACCACGCATGAAGTGGCTACGCATGAAGCCGCGCGATATCCGCGAGCTGGACGAATACACCCGCCGCGAAGAATTGACCGCGATCCACGAGAAGAGGGCCCAGGACGCTCGCGACCGCGCCGCAGCAGCCGCCGCCGCCGATAAGGACGGCGACACAGAAATGAACGCCGACCAGTCGCAGGATGCGCAGATCGCCGGCCGGAAAAAGGCGCCTATGCGGCGGCGACGAAAGGCTGCCGGCGAAGCATAATCTCATTTTATCATATCGAACAGCAGTGCCAGTGACGGACTCACATCTTCCACACGGTGTTTTCTTCCCAGCGGGGTGTTCTTTACTCTTTTTTTTCCCTTCATGTTTCTGGTATTGACCTCCTTGATTTCTCGCCCCTGTCATGTACCCGAAGAACATATGCTGGATTGGGGTTATGGGCTGGTATGGGATGGGATGGGATTGATTGCCAAATCGGTTGTGAGTGGGTTAGGGCAGGCAGACTTGAATTCGGCATGGGTCTGATGGATGGATGGCTGGACAGAGGCTTGACGACGACGCTGTTTTATGATCGAATTGACACGTTATTATCATTATACAGAGTATCTTGTCTAGGAGTTATTGATTTGATTGCATGTCTCTTCTTGCGTGAGCTATTTTTCTTTGTTGTATGGTACTTAATTCCTATCAAACCTCAGTCTACAATCTCAATGTCAACTTTAACTCCATGGTTACTATTCCAGTTCAAAAAAGAAAAAGCCCTATTCCGCTCCATCTGCCTTGAAATTTGGCCAAGTGTAGTATGTACTATGTACCTCTCAGGTGAATGTGGATGCACACGGCGAAAGCCGAGTACACAGCATCCACCTCTTCTCCTGCTCCTCTCCTCCCCTCGTCCTACCTTGCACCACAGACTCAAAAGAATCGTCCTAGCAAAGGGCCTGTCTAGATCTCTATTTCTGTCTGTGCTTCAATTTAGTGTTTGTTCTATATTTATCTCGTTGTCTCTCCCCTGCATCTGCATCTGCATGTTGTGTCTTGAACTAAACTCTGATGACAAAAAGTATATTGTAGAGGGTGTCTCGAATACTGAGATAGTTGATTATCAACAGAGTATATGTGACAGGGGGATTTGGGGAAGTTAAGTCTGATGATGCGACATCGATCAGTCCTTCTTTTGGACCTGATAGCTAGAGGTGGACGTTGTTACTTGAATCCCAAAGCGGATACATTTCTAGATATATAATACCTCAAACTTGTTAGAGGCCACCGTTGTGAAAAAAAGTCGAATTCCACAAGCTATTAATACGAAACAGTCCAGATATGCCTGGTCAAATCAAGACCATGCTGTCACAGTCCCACTCTAACCCTCATAGATGCATGGAGTTCTGGGATCTAAATACCCTTATCATCATCATCCATGATCATCACTTGTCCTCGAATCCACACCTCCATCGCCATCGCTCTCGCCCTTCCTTAACGGATCTTGATTAGTAAATCGAGTCGGTTTATTCCGAAAGAATAGCCTGCAGCGTCGATCACCAACTAGAAAGCTCTAGAAAGAGAGTAAACAACATAGTCTCTACTGACCACTTAGTGTTGTCAACTAGTATAATGAAATTAGTGACGCGGGAACAATGTTGACCCAATGGCGCGCGTGAAATAAATTGCTTTACTTAGAGTGTGCTGCCGGTTTAAGAATAGCTACCTATGAGTCGGTGTCTGTCGGTTGTTTTGTTTTTGTTCACAATAGTACTACCTGCGTAGAGAAAGAAGTTTAGTATACAAACCGATAATCTTTACTAAGGTTATTATCGAACAGCCGAGCTTTTCTAAGTGCTATTAATCGTAGTAATAATCGCGAGTTACCGCGGGGCGCTCATAGTATGGTTCTGGAACCATACAAGAATCAAAAATTGGTCTAGAGCTTCTAAAAATAATATCTATTATTCCCATCTATCAGGCAACCAAGGCGCTACATGAGACATGAACGGCGCTTTCCGCACCCAATGGATATAAAATGAACATGTGCAGGCATACAGAACCGAACTAAAGTCTGGATATTGGACATATTATTTGATCCCAATCATTGATTCGTAATTCGCGCTATATCAATTTGTTATAGTCTCCATAACAGGGATAGTATGTTGGCGCTAATGACTTGCAGCCGGGCATTCGAAGGTACCTTCAAAGAGCGAATCCTACATTTTCCATTTCGGTTCTGGCGCTCAAGTTAGCGCCCAAAAATAGATTAGAAAAGGAAACACCAGGTTAGTTCACGCCGTCACACTGGGAAATCAATAGTCTCTCTTCCTGCATCCACCCGGGCGCCATGCAGAATGCGGAGTGGGCACAGAATCTAAGTCCAGCCTGGTTAGCGCGATTGCGCATACAGGAGTCTGGCAGGGAGATACGGTTATTTATTCACTAAGGTGGGGGTGATTTCCCAGCGTGCCCTTAGAGGGGGTTCATAGTGGGAATACGCAGTGGTTGAATCACCCGAGTCAGAACACTAAGTCAGTAGGGCGGAGCCTAAGTTACATGCGTACACTGTCGCAATAATGCACCTGCCAGACGGAATAATAGGCCCTACTGCTCGGCAACATTAACCGAGACCCGTCCGCCATGTATAGATAAGGTTGACAGACACGGAGAAGGGGCCAACTAGTAAAACACACCCCCGCGTGGTCGTTCGCCTCCCAGCAACACCCAAGATAAGAGACAAGAGGCGAATACGCCAAACCCAAATTACGGACATAGCCAACAAGGCCACCTGGCTCTCGCCTCCCGCCCGTGGAGAAAGAACCCGGCCGAAGCCGGGCAGCCAAAGACGAGGGGTCGTGCACCCCCGGCCCCATTTCTTTGGGGTTCCTTTGCAACGGAGTTAAGAGCTAGTTACAGTTGACTAGCTAAGTGTCCACCTTGTGCAGATAGGGGCAAATCCTCATTGAGAGGCGGCTCTTGCTCCGACTCGGATCCGGCGGAACGGCACCAACCTGTAGTGAAAAAAGTATGTGTAACTCGTTCTCGTATCTACAAGCTCGTGAGCCATCGCATGCGAGAGGCGCAGCAGCTCTTTACCCACAATATTGCATCATTGGCACATTGGCATTTCTCAGCACTGTAGGCAGACACAAAAAATCATTACCAAGGATGTTTTGCGCTTGGACCCTCGGGCCCCGATGCCGACGTGGATGCTTTTTGTTTGGTTTCTGAGCGGAAACAAGCCGAGTACGATTGCGCACATTAATTGTAGTTATGGGGGGACGAATTGGATGGCCAATTCCTGCTAGGTGAGCGTTAAATTCAAAACCGAAAATTTGGATCTACTCTTGTCACTACTCTTTTTTCTAATGCTAAACTGCGCCCTGCGGTAAATTGTTCCCG